TCGACGCGACTCGACCGCGAATGCTCGATTCGCAAAGTCTGACATCGACCAAACCTTGTGTTGTGTGTTGCTGCGCTGCCTTCCTTATTGAGGGCGGCAGAGATGGCGTCTGAGCCATCTCGGGCGACGTGCTCTCTCGCGTTTTCCATCTCCTCGAATCGCTGTTTCCACCCATCATACCACGGCTGACCTCACAAGGGCAATTTCGGTGTTTTTATGACGCTTTTTGAAGTTTCTCCCACTAACGTTCCTATCCATTTTTTGTTTAACTTTTGATGTATGTAAACACCAACTCGACTCCCACTCGTTCTAAGTGAGACTAGTATCTGAAAATCATTCCGGGACAAGGTCCCACGAAGGTCGACACAAATGCCAAGGTTCTATGAAGAAGATGGACTCTAGCTTCTCAATGTTTTCCTTTGACCTGTCATGGAATCAAGATGAGTCAAAAAATTGAGACTTCTTTGGGAAGAGTCAGAATGAGGATGTTGGGTAGGGGTATGTGGGTGAGACGATAAGGTAAATCAGCAAAGTTTTTGCGATTTCATGCCTGTGACTCGAGCTGAGCTTCTCTGATTTGCCTAAATACTTGGGTGCAATATAAACCGTTCCAAAGAACAGTCGCCTTCTAATATCTTTCAAAGCCGAAGACATCTAAAGGTGATAGCTCCCAATGTCTTGTTGGTGCTGCCTTTATCGCGGTCCACCATGTGAATATTCACACAGTCGATTGAGACGTGCAAATGCTTGACCTTAACTGAGACTCAATCCGAACCTCCTTTTTATAGGAAGACATGGGGTAACCATTGAGCCACAGAGGCGACGCTCACCTACCATCGCTTTATTAGCGATGTCCATCTTTACCATAGCTTATCATCACTTACACGTACTAGCACATCTGGCGCAGAAAGTGTGAGATATTGGCTTGAGGGAAAGCTCTTTGCTCACGAATCAGAATTCTTGTAAGAACTTCGGGAGTTAGTTCGGAGGGAGGGAGCAGCGGAAGATTAGGAAGGCAGCTGTGACTACATAAATGGAAAGCAATTCTGAGGTCGCACCGTCCCATGTTGAAAATATTAAAATCACAAGCTTTCAGGATTCTTTCTGGTCTTTCTTGAAGCAGCATTCACTAAAACGCTCACGTGGTCCAGGTCGGAAGTAGTCATTCGAAGGACTTTCGAGACTCCACAGAACATGAGGCCTTGTAGGTTTCCTTGGCGTTGGAACGGATATCGCCGAGTAGTCGGCGTTATGAAACAAAACAGCGTCCGCAATGTCAAGATCCGCTTTGTCCTCTGATATTCGGCAATATCCCTGGAAAGAACGATTTCATTACAGAATTCAGGGCGGTGCATGGTGCAAAGCGGTATAGTGACAAGGGGCTTCGCTCACTAGGCGCACAGTGGCCTGGGATCAAGTCTTGAGTCGCACGCCGTCCTGGTCAACAAAGCCTTCTATCCCTACGAGGTCTGAAGGAGCCCCAATTCACAAACTTACAGGACGAACCCAGGGAAAATGAAAAGTGCTCACGCACTCCACTGTGCCACTTCCTGACGTTCAGCACTGAAAAAACTACCGTACTCGGGACGCAATGTTATGTTCACGCATAAATTGGCGGAAACCATTCATTATCAAACTGGGCACAATAGTTAGATGGTTCCACATTGCGACCATGTTGCGAATGAGCCGTGACAGACCATGTGTGTGTATATTGAAGTAGGATCAGAGAGCACGTAAAAACACCTCCGATCGTGTACTTGCGTACACTCAGAGAATACCGTAACTTTGGCCGTAGGGATAATTGGATCCTCTGGTTATGGAAATGACATTCACTTTCTGGCTTTAT